CCGACGTGCTCTGCCCGCTGGCCGACAAGGGCGCCCGCGAGCTCAAGCTCAGCGGGGCCACCCTGGTGCCCTCCGTGGGCCACCTGGCCGACAAGAGCCGGCCTTTCCAGGTGGCCGCTGAGAGCTGCGCGCTGGAGCGCGCCGAGGGCGCCGAGCGGCACGGCGAGGCGGGCGCCGAGCCCCCCGCCTACTTCCAGCACCCGCTCAAGGCCGAGGGCAAGGCCGAGCGGCGCCTCGAGTGGGGCCCCCCCGGCCCCGCCGCCCGCATCAAGGGCCTCGAGTACCTGGGCAGCGGGGGCGGCGCCGAGACCCCCTTCGCCGGGCTGGGCCATGCGCCCAAGGGCGCCTTGGAGAAGGGTGGCTACTTCGAGCCGCCACCGGCGCCCGACTGTTCGCGGGCCGCCCCGCCGGACCCGCTGGGCGCCAAGCTGGGCCCCTCCTGCTGCACCCTGGAGAAGGGCCCCAAGGAGGCGCCGGCGCAGAAGGTGGCGCGGATCCGGCACCAGCAGCACGACGCGGAGCCCGGCGGCGGCGCCGAGGCCAAGCGCAAGGCGCTGGAGCTCAACGCGCTGGGCTACGGCGGCCCCCCGCTGCCCCCCTGGGGCGTGCAGGGCCAGGGCCCCCCCATGGCCATGGCGGAGGAGCGCAAGGGCTCCTACCTGGACCCCTTCAGCACGAGTTTGCAGCAGGCTGCATTGATGACTCAGGGCTCGGTGCTGAGCCAGGACATGCCGACCCCCCCGGACGAGGTGTCGGCCATGAAGAACCTCCTCAAATACAGCAACCAAGCACTTATCGTGGGCCAGAAGGCGCCTTTCGTGGGGCTGGGCGGCCTCAAGGGCAGCTGCGCCCACCAGGACGCCAAGTTCCCGCCGGCGGGCAAGGGGCAGGCGGAGCTGGAGCGCCCGGACTGCGCGCGCAGCCGGGAGCACGAGCTGGGCGCCGGCGAGGGCGAGGTGCGGCAGCCGCCCGTGGGCATCGCCGTGGCCGTGGCGCGCCAGAAGGACACGCTCAGCCGGCCCGAGCCCTCCTACGGCAGCGGCTCCGCGCGGCCGGGCCGCGCCACCGTGGGCATCAAAGGTACGGGGCGGGCACGGCGGCGGGCACGGCGCGGGCGGCTGGCGCGCTCACCCGCTCGCCCTGCGCCCGCAGCGGGCACGGCGCGGCCCATGCACGTCATCGAGCTGGACGCGGAGGAGGAGCGGAGCCGGCTCTGCGACGAGCGCCTGGGGCTGGCCGGCCGCGAGCTGCTGCTGCAGTAAGGGGGGCGGCGGGGGGCGCAGTGGGGGGGCCCCGGCGTCCGGTGCCATCGGCGGCGCTGGGCACACGGGCAGGGCGCGGTGGTGGCTCCCGCATCCTGTGCCCTGCATCCCCTGTAATGCCCCCTCCATCCCAGGTCTCCCATCCCTCCTCCATCCGCCTTCCTACATCCTCCATCCTGCGCCTCCCGTCCTGTGTGCTGCACCCCCACGCTGCATCCTCATCCTGCATCCCATGTTCCCAATCCGGCATCCCCCATCCTGTATTCCCTGTAACGCATCCCGTGTCCCCCATCCTCTGCCCTGCAGCCACCTTCTGCACCTCCCCTCTGTACTGCATCCCACCCCCTGCACCCCGTACCCTCCATCCCGCACCCCTCCATCAGGGCGGCCCCTCGGGGGCGCGGGGCCCCCATCCCGTCCCCGGTGCCCATTCTCCACGCTGCCCTTGCAGGGAGAACAAGGAGCTGGTGGAGTTCGCCCGCATGCACCCGTCGAGCGGCTGCCCGGGGGAGCTGCCCCCGCACCTCATGATGCCGGGGGGCTCCTCGCTGCAGCCGGGCCAGCTGGGCGCCGACGCGGCCCACGCGCACCCCGCGCACACGCACTGGCTGCCCCGCACCCGCAGCCCCTCCATCTGGATGGGGGGACACTCGTACGGTGGGTGCCGCGGGGGGCGCCGCGCCGCCCGCGCCGGCCCCTGCTCACCGCCCCGGCGCCCCGCAGGCATCGGCCACCCCGCGCTGCACCAGAACCTGCCGCCCGGCTTCGCCGCCTCCATGCCCAGCACCATGCAGTCCGTGTTCCCGCTCCCCCAGGACCCCCCCGCCCAGCTCGTCATCCTGCCCACCGAGCCCCCCGCCCACGGCACCCCCCACCCGCTGGGTAAGGACGGCGACGGCGCCGGGTCCCTGCGGGGCTGCCGGGGACCGTGTGGGGATGGGGGTCCCTGGGGGGCTGCACAGGGCTGGGGGCTGCAGGTGGGAGCTGGGGGTCCCTGTGGGTGTTGCTGGGGGCTGCAAGTGAGATTTGGGTATCCTTGTGGGGCTGCGTGGGGCTGGGGATGCAGGGGTGGGAGCTGGGGGTCCCCGAGGGGGCTGTTAGTGGCAGGAGATGCAGGTTGTGGGGCTCCCCATGGCCGCTGCATGGGGCTGGGGATACAGGCTGTGCGGTCTGGCGGTGCGCGGTGGCAGTGGGGTCCCTGTGGATGTTCCTGGGGGTCTGCAGTGCAGGGTAGGGGGTTCCCACGGGCGCTGCCGGGGGGCTGGGCTGCAGCGCTGGGTCCCCAGGGTGGTGCTGGGGCGGGGGCACCGCGGCCGTGTCCCCGGCTGACCCCCAACACCGGCAGCCGACGTGATGGACCAGGCGTCGCTGTGGCCGCCCATGTACCCAGGCCGGGGCCCCGGCGCCCACCTGCAGCACGCGGGGCAGCTGCCCGTGTACCCCCGCTCGCAGTTCCTGCGGCAGCAGGAGCTCTACGCCCTGCAGCAGCAGCAGCAGCAGCAGCAGCAACGCGCTGCCCAGGCGCTGGAGCTGCAGCGCCAGGCGCATGCCCAGGTACCGCCGTGGGGCAGAGCGGGGGCTGCAGAGGGGTTGGGGGCTGCGGTGGGAGATGCAGCATCGGGATGCGTGGCCGGAGTGAGGGGCCGGCGGCAATGCTGCAGCAGGAGCTGCAAGGCTGGAATGTGGGCAGGGGTGGGAGATGTGGGACCAGGATGTGGGGCTGTTGTGGGGCTGGGAAGGGAGCCGTGAGGCCGGGATGTGGGTCTGGGGGGAGTGTATAGGATGGGAGATGTGGGACGGGAAAGGGAGATTTGCCTGGTATTTAGGCCTGGGAATTGGGGCTGATGGTGGGACTGGGATGGGAGATGTGGAGCCGGGATGTGGGGGGCTGTTGGGGTGCAGCATTCTGCCACGCAGAGCGGAGCCGTGGGGCCAGGCCGGGCTGTGGGGCCGGCCCCGTCCCACCCCCGTGTCCCCCCGCAGCGGAAGCCGGAGGAGCCGCCCCTGGAGCTGGAGGAGGCCGGTGCCGAGAAGCCCCTCAAGCCCCCCCCCAAAGCAGTTGCCTTAAACCCCCCGGGCAAGGGCCTGGCCTCGGCGGCCCCCGCGCCCCCCAAGCTGTCGCCCTGCTGCCACTCGCCAGCGCTGCGGCACCCGGCCAAGTGCCCCGTGACGCTCCCCGCGGCCCCCTGCACTTTACCCGTGTGCCCCGCCGCCAGCCCCGCCGTGGCGCCGCGCTCGCCCGCCGCCAGCCCCGTCCCCGCGCAGAGCAAGGGCGCCGAGGCCGAGGACAAGCGCGGCGAGGGGCGGCCGCCCCGCGACTACCCCAAGTCCCTGGAGCCAGGTAGGACCCCGGCATGGGGCAGGAGATGGGGGGCATGGGCACCCAGCTTGTGGTGGTGTGCACTGGAGTGTGGCATGGGAATGGGAGCCTGGGATGTGGCATGGGAACGTGCACTGGGATGCAGTGTGGGAACATGCACCGGGATGCACCTTGGGAATAGGATCCCGGGATGCAGAGCAGGAGCGTGCACCAGGATGTGGCATGGGAGCATGCACTGGGATGCAGTGCAGGAGCGCGCACTGGAATGCAGCGCAGGAGCATGCACTGGGATGCACCCCAGGAATGGGACCCGGGGATGCAGTGCAGGAATGGGGTGCAGCACTGGAGCAGGGTGCAGTGCAGGAATAGAATGTTGTGGGGGAACTGGATGCCCACCTGCAACACTGGTACAGGATAGAGCATGGCAATGGGGTGCCAAGCTGCAGTGCCAGCGTGGGATGCAGCATGGGAACAGGGTGCTGTATGGATGCAGGGATACAGGGATGCAGGACAGGAGTGGGATGCCAGGCTGCAGCTCGGGAGCGAGACGCAGCAGGGGCACAGGGTGCCAGGCTGCAGCAGCGCAGCGGGGCGCAGGACAGGAGCAGCGTGCAGGGCTGCAGCGGGCAGCAGCGCGGGTCGGGGCTGCCCTGAGCGTCCCGCTGTCCCCGCAGACCTGCCGCCCGGCTACAGCTACCCCGCGGGCGCCATGGCCTTCCCGTCGCCGCTGGCGTCCGACGCGCACTCCGCCGAGCCCGCCGACCCCGACACTATGCAAGCGGTCTCGCCGGCGGCCGAGCCCGAGCAGTCGCGCACGTTCGGCCCCGCGGAGCCCGCGCGCT